GAGAGAGAAAATAATATATATAATAAAAATATTATAATTCTTAATTTTTTAAATATCAAATAAAAATATTTTTATATATAATTTTTTATTTTTATAGAACATTTTTTCTCAAATCGAGCTCGAGCTCGAGCCGAGCTTGAGCCTCATACTATTCGGCTCGGCTTGGTTCGAATCCACCCCTACCCGTATGGTTTAGCTAATTAACTAAGTATACCCTTATTGTTTGACTATTTTCTAACGCTACCCCTACTATTTCTGACAATTGACTAGCTTTACCCTTACCGTTAATATCTGTCAATATTTTATCAAAACCCGTACACATGTGACACTACATGACATTTAATTTTTTTAAAACCCAATGTTACCCTTGTCCCCTTCCTCTTGACCAGCATTTCCGGCACCCCCCTTCCTCCTCTAACCTCTCTCTCCCTGTCTTCCCTCTTTCATTCTCTTTCTTCCATTTCTCCTTCTCTTTCTAAAACAAGACACCCTCCTCTAACCTCTTCCCTTTGTCTGTTTGTGTTGGATAGAAGAACAACAACAACTCTCATAGAAACCATTATAGATGGAACCACCAGAGAGATTGATAGTGGCAGAGAAGAAATCGTGAACCCTAGATGAGATCACTTCTCTTCTCCATGATCTTAACCCCGGATCTCTTCTTGATCGTTCATTTTACTCTTTTCTCACCATCTCCCTCTTCCTCTCTCTCTCTCTCTCTCTCTCTCTTTAAGAGAAACAGTTGAGAGTAGCAGAGAGAGAGAGAGGTCCTTGATTGAACTAGTTTGATTTGGGGAGAGATGCGTTAGATTAGGGTTTAGGTTGGGGAAATGGGGCTCTACACTTTGAAACCCACCCCAAGACTTGATCTTTATGCCAACAGAGAAGAGGAGCGATTGCAAGAAAACCCTTAAGCCTTTTGAGAATTCTGTTAATGGGGGCAATGATAAAGTAGAGGCAAAAGTAGCAAGCAAAGCTCTAATTTGCAAAGGGTAGAAAGCATCAAGCATTGCCACCAACAACAACGACAGTGGAAAAAAGCAAAGGTAGAAGTAGAAAAAAAATCTCTTTTTTTTCCCTTTTTATGGCTTAGGTCCTGCTCATTATTTGCTCTCTAAGAAATCTCTGGCATCGAGCTCTAATTCAATGCCAAAGAGGCTCTTTAAGAAGCCTTTTCCACCACCATCTCCCTCCAAGCATATCTGGGTAGTGTTGGCTCTTCTTCAAGAGCCTCCCTTCCTTAGACCTCTACATTTTTGTTTCTGCAACCTTCGATCCTCTTGGGCGGGATTTGAAGGGGTTAGAGAACAAAGTCTGTTGGTAGAGAGAGAGAGAGAGAGAGAGAGAGAGAGAGAGGTGAAGAGAGAGAGAGTTCGTTGTGCAGAGGTGAAGAGAGAGAAAGAATGAAAGAGATAGATGAGAGATTTAATGGAAGGGTAAAATTGAGATTTCAGCCCTTCCATCAATATTTAACGGCAATGGTAAATTTTTGTTACAGTAGGGGTAGTGTTAGACTATAGTCAAACTATAGGGGTATACTTAGTCAATTAGCTAAACCATAAGAGTAGTTTAAGATATTTGTCCTTTACTATTTTATTGTCATTTTGTTAAGATTACATTATGAAAAATTATGTTTTAATTTATTATTTAAATAAATAATAATATATCAGTATAATTGGGTTAATTGGATCAGACCCGATTATTCTGATTATTAATTAGGACGACGGTTCTGGGTCTTTGATTTTGTCTCAATTAATAATCGGTTCCGGACTATGACACCCTGTCCCTAACACAGACCCAACCCATTAATAGCCCTACATTTTAGCTAGGGGTGCAAGCTGGTACAGACTGAGCCAGGTTTATGCTCACCCCAAGCCCAACCTTAAGAATTTGACATAAGGCCTGAGCCTGGACCAAGTAAAAGGTGAATCCTGAACTATCCAACCGAATCCCAAACTATACTAAAATTCGATGCACTTGGGTTGTGCTCAGGTTCGTTAATCAGCCCAGATGATGTAAATGTATGTGCGTGCTTTACAAAAAGAATATATGCATGCAAAATATATCTGGGCTGGACTCAGATTGGGATAAAGTCGGGTCAGATTCGGGCTACCTAAGGGTGAGACCCGAGCCCAGCCCAATAAAATAAGAAAGCCCGAACTTTTGGGTCCAGACTCAGCCTGAGGACAAAAATCCAAAACCCAGCTGATACAAAATTGCATGGGTTAGGCCTGCCCAAGTTGCACCCCAAATTATAGCAAAGTGAAGTAAAGAAACAGGACCGACCTGAAAAAATCAAGTTGAATCAGGGTTAGAGATAGAATTGGGTGGTTTAACTCAACAACTCGGATTGGATTTAGGGTTGACCTAAACCTGATCTAACCTTGCCCGACTTGCATCATCAATATTACATTTCCTCATTCCTCTCCGCTAACCTCTGTTTGCATTTGCTTTGATTCCAGGGGGTGTGACGACGATGGTACCGTTTCTAGAAAAGTTCTTTCCTTCAATACTAAGGAGGATGGAAAATGCCAAGAATAATACATACTGCATTTATGATAGCCAGGTTCTTACAGCATTTACATCTTCATTGTACATAGCTGGTCTGGTCGCATCTCTCTTTGCTGGCCGCCTCACCAGAGCCATTGGTCGCAAATCCATCATGGTATTAGGAGGTTTTACCTTCTTAGTAGGTGCAGCCATCAACGGTGCTGCCTTCAATATCGAAATGCTGATCTTGGGTCGCATCTTGCTCGGTTTTGGTGTTGGCTTTACTAACCAGGTAAGTGGGATCTTGAATTGTCTTGTTTGGATATCAATGGGCCCGTCTGTCCTATCATGCTTCAATTCAAACCTGGTGTCTTCCCCTCGGCATGTATATGTTATAGTCTTAGACCCAATTGGCCAGCTGACTTTCTCAATGGGCTTTAGATTAGACCCAATTGATTCATGTGGGGATGGTCTTGTCATTTACTGGGATAAAGCCCACATGAAATCGGTCCATAGAAATGGCAATGAGGTGGGTTTTATGAATTCTAAATCCTACTCACTTTTCTAAACCTCTTAAGTCTTAATCTGTACGTGCCCCAAAACCCGTAGCAGGATGGTTTTTGAAAATCTCAAACCCTTTCGATATATAGAAATGCAAAACCCTCCTACATTCAAGTGCATGCAAAGATAGGGACAGATTGGATTTAAAAATAATAAATAAGTGAAATAAACAATAAAATTTTTAATTATTTGATTAAGACATGTAAAAAACACATGGTTGGATTTAAAAGTAATAAATAAGTGAAATAAACAATAAAATTTTCAATTATTTGATTAAGACACATAAAAAAGCACATGAACTATCAATGTAAAATTTAAAAAACATATAAACTATCAATTAGATGAGACCCAATTTTCATTCTTGTGGGGATGATGTTGTCCTTTGCTGGGCCAAAGGCCTCATGAAATCTGTTCATGTTGTTGACTTTTATATGGCTAATGTCCAAATGAAGGTTACTCCACCTATCTGAAACGGCACCATCAAAATGGCGTGGAGCATTCAACACAGGCTTCCAGTTGTTCATAGGCATTGGCGTCCTGTCAGCCTATGTCTTCAACTTCTTCTCCGCCAAGCTCTACTGGGGCTGGCGCCTCTCCCTTGGCCTTGCAGCTGCACCTGCCATAATCATGGGGCTATGTGCCCTCCTCATATCCGACACCCCAAGTAGCCTTGTGCAGCGTGGCAAACTCGAAGAAGCCAGGAGATCACTGCTTCGAATCCGAGGAGTGGAGTCGGACATTGAAGCCGAACTAAACGATCTTGTGAAGGCAAGCGAAGCCACAAGTGCTGTAAACGAAGATCCATTCAAGTCCATCTTTGAGAGGCAGTACCGGCCCCACCTCGTCATGGCGGTGGCCATACCTTTCTTTCAACAGCTGACGGGAATTAATATTATTGCGTTTTATGCGCCTGTCCTCTTTCAATCGGTTGGTTTTGGCAGCGACTCTGCTCTCTTATCAGCCATCATTCTAGGCTCCGTCAATCTCACCTCAATCCTTGTATCCACCTTCATAGTTGATCGGTATGGTAGAAAAGTTTTGTTCATGGAGGGCGGGATCCAGATGGTCGTCTGCCAGGTCAGTGGGGGTACTTGCTTTGTTAAATAAGATATGTTGGATCAATTACAGGGGGGCCTCGGCCGTGACAAAATCATGCACAGCAGGCTGGGCCATGTGGGACCCATACCTTATAACTTATGTGTGTGGAACACTTACATGTTTACTTATGATAGGTTGCCTTGCTCACTCTGCACGATTTCGTCTCTCAGCCAGTCTAGACTCCAATTACAGTTTCTCACTAATAGGGGAAGCTGGGAATCCTATTGACACCGATGATGAATTATCCATCCCTCTCTTTGTATTACTTGGCCAAACACGATACGCCACATCTGCTCCCAGCATCTGGAACCCACGTATCAGGCCAATGTGGTGTATTGCGATTGGTCCAGCATCCTGCAGTTAACAATTTAACAAATTTGGAATTGCTACATAGCGTGACTCGCACCAAGAACATTTCCGGTACTTGATTTTATCATGGGAAGATGTTTCCAAGAGGCTGGTGGCTTGGTGTGAGGGGCACACTGTGAGAAGCAAATCTAATTTGCAATTTAACATAAAGGGTTGGGAATCTATGAGTCCGGATCTGCTTCTTACACGAACCTTACAGTATGTTTTAGTCATACATTGGGAACATCTTTCATACTTATAAATTATTATTCATTGGAGATGATGGCAATGCACGGTGGGATGTGGCTGTGACGTCGGTGTAAGAAGCGCTCTGTGAGGACCAAATCTCAAATTCGTATTTGCCCGATATAGCTGAGCCCAGCCCAAGCCAAGCCAAGCTGCAGGTCCAGCTCTTAGATCTAAATTTACATAAGCCCAACTTTCGATTATGGACCTTGCAAGATGCAAGTCATCAAATATGGTATCTACCCTTAAAAAAGCCCAGTCCAGTTTTGGTTGGCTAGTGATGAAGCAACCGGACTACAGAAATAATGAAATATCCTCTCTAGTTTGGTTCTGGACTCAGAATCAATTCACCTCAGCCCATATCCATGGCAAACCAAATCTGACCAAGAGAAGGGACCCAACAAGAAATGGACTATATACAAATATAGCAAAAGTATGTTATATGAAACCCAGTACTACTTTCCTCTCTTTTCAGAGTAGGCATTTTATATTTTATATGGTGTGTTCTTGGTGAAGGTGACCATTGCTTGCGTAATAGGAGCCACGTTGGGGGTTTCTGCAAATGAATCCATGTCCAAAGGCTACTCCATTTTGGTACTGGTGCTCATGTGTATCTACGCGGCTGCATTTAGGTGGTCATGGGGTCCTCTTAGCTGGCTCATACCCAGCGAAATATTTCCAATGAGAATACGTCCCGCCGGTCAGAGTATAAGTGTTGCCGTCAACTTCGTGACGACCTCCATTCTAGCTCAGACATTCCTGACTATGCTATGCCACTTCAAGTATGGCACATTTTTATTCTACGCCGGATGGATCACTGTGATGACAATTTTTGTTGCTCTCTTCCTTCCTGAGACCAAAGGAGTGCCGCTTGAGTCCATGCACAAGGTCTGGGAACAGCATTGGTTCTGGCATAGGTTTGTTAGCCGGGCCCCACCGTCCGACTTACAAAAACCGACAGATTGATCAGTCACTCAGTCTTTATTTAGCACGTTTCAGGCAGCATTGAAGGTTTGGTGTGAAGGATTTGTAGGATTTGTACGCATTTGTAGAGCAAATTTAGAGTTCACAAACCAAGAGATCTCCTTTTCTCTCCTTTCTTGTAAGTTTTATTGGGAAATATCAGACTAGTGATTGGTTGGAGTTCACATAGAATACAATAAATTACAAAGACCCACTTCACTTGTATTATGGGGTTAGTGACAAATGCCCCCTAGTTGTTAAGGATGATGGAATGTGTTAAGGTACCGAAATGCCCATCTCATCTTTTTTTATTTTCTTTTCTTTTAAAATCTAGTTTAATCTAGGTCTCGTTTAGTGTGTCTTTTTGAGAAGATCTTCTTATAGTTTTGATAGTTAAAAGACCTATTGAGCTTTTAACATAAGATCTGAACAGTCCGAAGACAATTTATGAAAAAATGCACCAAAGGGGTCTGTAATCTTGATATTCCCTTCCCCAGGAAAAATTACCTTGAAAGTAGCCTATCTCAAGGAACCGCAAAATAAATGAGAGAGGTAGCAAACAAAAGAAATCTGAAGGATTACTTTAATCAATTTGAAATTATTACAAGGTATGAAGCCTGAAGTGTTGAATTTTTGGATAAACTTCCATCAATTCAACCATTGATTAAAATTTTCAAGTGCTGAATGTTTTACGACCAGCTGTAATTCATCTGCAAAGCCAAGCAAACAAGTCGAATTCCAAATGCCTATTCTAGGATTACAGGTAGTAAAACAAAAACGAAAAAGTGGCGATCCAGCCTGAAGCTTGCATTTACAGAGAGAGAAGTCCTCTAGCATGAATCAATCGTCACTATGGTCACCCGTATGCATGGTGATTTGGTCGGAGATGCCTTATCACCGATCAAATAAATAAGAAAAGTGTAGTTTGGGGATTTAAAAAATTTTAAATAGCTGAATGAGAATCTTTTTTGAAGATAATCGAAGAAACGTTAACAGAGGGTTGTTGTCTAACGGCTAAAGTTTACGGGGTCTTTATCACAAATTATTTCAGGAATAGGTGCTTAAAATTCCGATTCTGACTATTTGTTTAGCAGGATTGGGATTCCAATTCCAAAGTCTATTAAGAAGTAAAGAACTCGTGACAAAAGCCCCCAAATCCTAGTATTCATAAAATAATAAAATATTATTAAATTAATAATTAGAAAATAATAAAATATTAATACATTAATAATAACAAACAAAGATAATAATAATAATAATAAAGTAGAAATAAATTGTTAATATAATATAACTAAAGTAATAATACAATATTAACATATTAATTACTCAATAATAATAAAAAATTAATTTTAAAATAATAAACAAAAATAACATACATTAATTAACTAATAAAAATAATAATATATTAATAAACTATTCATAAATTAATGATAAACACAAAGATATTAATTATTAAATACTAATAAAATAATAATTATATATTCATAAAATATTAATAGATTAATAATACAAAATTGAAAAATTTCAGTTGATTTTGATTCCAACTCCTAATGAACCAAACAACAACAATTGGAATCCGATTCCGGTTCTTGATTAAACCAAATAGGCGTCAGGAATAAGTGATTCCGATTCTGGTTTCTGGTATTTTGATTCCAATTCCGATTCTAGTCCTATGCGCAAACCAAATGCACCCTTATTGTTGGTGTTAGTCCAAGATGCTTGAAGAGTTGTCTCCTGAAGGCAATAAACCTAACGTGAATGAAGAAACATATGAATTGAAGAAATGTATGTCTGAAGAGTCAGCTCCTTTGCACCCACACCCGGATGTAGTAGGCACATTAAGTAAGCACAATGAGTGAGCATGTAATAGCTGTGTGACACATGCCCCGGTTAATGTGTCTTTCATCCAAACATTTTTGCTCCATTAGACAGAAACTATCCATTATTTTATTATTTTTGTCAAAATAATTAAAAATAAAAACAATGAAAAAAGAAAACCTAAACATATTGGGAGTTGGGATTCACTTAGGTTTTCTTTTTTTATTGTTTTTTATTTTTAATTATTTTGATAAAGATAATAAAATAATGGATAATTTCTGTCTAATGGAACAAAAACTTTTGGATGAAAGGCACAATTGGGACATGTGTTACACAGCTCTTACGTGCTCACTCATTGTACTTATCTAACGTGCCTACTACATCCAGACTCCCATTTGTGACATGTTAGTCACAGGGTTAAAATTCCAACCTCTAGCATCTTTTAACTAATCGCCTTTACATTTTGTAGCCCAAACTTTACTTCAGGTATACACAGGTAGCCACTTAAAATTTTATTAACCATTACCAAAAGAAAAGAAATTAGATACAAGGGAGGATGTAGCTCGTGTAATCCTCCATAAGCAACCTAGAGAACATTCTCAGAGGACCAGGACAACCTTCAAACATGCCAAACCTGCTTTCATTAATCCCCATATTGGCAAGATAGTCTTCACATCTATTGCCTTCTCTATGACTGACAAAATATAATTCACATGTTAGAGTCAATATAGATTAACTTTCCTTAAGATGTAAATAGTTGACCATGGTTGATCATTCTTGCCCATCACGATTCTCCACCAAGACTTTATTATCACTTTCAATCTCCACTTCCAAAATTCCCTTCTCCAAACACAATTTCAAACCATCATATAAAGTTAGAAATTCCGCCTGGATAGAAGTATTAATACCACAAGAATTAAAGAAAGCAAAAAGTAATGAGTCACTTGAGTCTCTTATAAGACCTCCACCACCAATATTTTTGGATTGCCATGAGAAGCACACACTATTCACAGTTAACTTAATGTGATATTGATTTGGAAATTTCCATGAAACCCACCTAAATTTTTCTTCGATGCACGGTTTCACATGTATGTTTAAGAGATGTAGAATAGAAAAATCATGGTCTTGGACAGATGGAGCACTACTTGTATTTCTCAAATCTAGTAACCAATTTTTAATTTCTCGGATTTACACAGTAGCTAGCAGAAGAATCCTTACCTTCAAAAACACGTTCACATCTCTCCTTCCAAATAACCGAAAGGATATATGATTGAAGAATGAGTAATGCCAATGAGTTTGTGGGTCTGAGAATCCTTAATACAAAGGCTCCACCATTGGTGCGCCCTATTTATCACGTGTTGCATGGGAAAAAGAGGGATATATTATAAAGTGAACTAAAGCAAGACCATACTTGTGATCATCCAACAAAACAACTATGGCCTTGGTTCATGTTTCTCAATGGCAAGATCGATTTGGGACACAATATCCATTACTAGTCTGGGGTTCACATAACTTGCTAGTTATTCATTTGTTTTGAGGATCAGGAGTTCAGGACCAATCATCTTATGGGTTTCATGATGAAGACATCCAGGGAGAAACCATCCTCTAATGTAATAGTAGTTGCAACTCTTCAAGGCACAAAATAATAAGGCAAAATTTATGGTGCATTTTTTATAGTGAAAATAAGTATGATAAATAAGAAGAATTTTTATAGACATATAAATCATGGATTTTGAAAACGATTTGGAGATTGAACCGGTCAGGGGTCTGGTTACTGGGTCGAACGGTCCGATCGTTCGAATCCGTTCTGACAAAAAAATAAAAAAATAAAAAATGGTCAAAATTGTTCGAACGGTTAACCGCTAAACTGGTCACCTAACCGGTTCCCAGTTTTTTTGGTCCGATCGTTCGGTCCGGTCCGGTTTTGAAAACCATGATGTAAATATAAAAAAATTATAAAACATTTTAGAAATATATTATTTTCCATCATCATCATCATCATTAAAAATTACTATGTACAAAACACATATACACTAATCTTTTAAAACATACACTAATAAAAAATAAGTAAATAATATGATCTCTTTAATGTGATTGATTAGGGGCCCGTTTGGCTCATCTTTCCGTGCAGTATTTCGGTTGTTTACAAACTGGGCAGACCGATTTTTGGTCTATTCCCGTTTGGTTCGCGGAAGATCTAGCCATCAAAAGACGAAGCACTGAAAAGACGTGAAAAACCCATTTTAGGCTGATTTCGGAAAGCTCCAAATGAAGTTTTTCTCGTCTTTCGCATTTTATTTTTACGTAGAAAGACATGGAAAGATGCACGGAAAGATGTGATACTGCCAAACTAGCTTGGGGCTGCTCAAATCTTTATGCAAAAGCTCAATATGTCTTTTGACTGTCAGAGCTACTAGAAGATTTTTCCAAAAAGACGTGCCAAATGAGCCCTGAATTAACATACAATAAATATTAGTAAGCACAATATGGTTGGAGTCAATAAATAATGCCTGAATCAGGTGGCCAAAAATAACCAGGCCATATTGATTTTGGTGTAAACAGTTGACAAAGTGGAACTCTCCAACGTATGGTCTTGATCCTATAAACACATAACACTAGAAAATTAAAGGGGCACCAAAATGCAATTGATCCTACGTCTCCATCCATGGTTTTCAAAACCGGACCAGACCGGACAGTCGGACTAGAAAAACCAGGAACTGGTTAGGTGATCGGTTCCGTTTTACCCCAAAACCATTAATTTGGCCAAAAACATTGGTTTGGTCAACAAACCGCTGACCCGGGTGGTTGAACCGTTTGAATCGTTCAGTGGTTTTGTCTGTTCTTTTAATTTTTTGTATTTTTTAGTTAGAACGGGTCATCCGCTCGGTTTGAACGGTTACCTAACCAGTTCATTGTCCGGTTTGATTTTAAAAACCTTGTCTCCATCACAGGAGTAGGGGTCTGGAATTGGAATCGGAATTGGAATGGGCTATTCCGATTCCAACCGTTTGGTTGGACAAAATCAAAATCCTATTCTCATTCCTGCTGAAAAGGCATTTCCCCATTTGAGGGAATGACCATTCCCTGCCCTTCCCTTGAGAATGACATCCCATAACTGCTGATTCTAATTCTCATTCCCATTTCTGTCTGAACTAAATAGACTATAAAAATGGACCATTTTGATTCTGATTTTGACTACAAACCAAATGGACCTCAATGTTGTGGCTGGTGATGTTTAGATATTGAAACATACAGGCTTCTTGATTCGCTGGTTTTTATAGTTTATCAGTCTTCGA